GCGGGGGGGGGGGGGATGCAGGCGGGTCTCCATGGTGCTTGGGCCAATCAGCGCTCGCCATCCTGTGATCGACAGCGAGGGTCTCAGCCAGGACCCGCCTGGCAGATCCTTAAAAAGATGGAGGAAGTAAAAGGGAAAGCCAATCCGATTGTTTCTTCCTTTGACTTTTGACCAATAGGAAAGGGGGAAGGGCAAACCTGCAGGGCAGGGCTGGGAAGTTTGAAATTAGCGGTTAAGCCGGATGCTGTGTTTGGGGGCGCGGCCGGGGTCCCCTAAGAGAGGTCACGGGCGCTATCTGCTGTCTAGACCGCCTGGAGGAGGAAGGCCGCTCTACCCGGACTTCCTGTCCCTCCTACCTGCCTATAATAGAAGTTCTGGTTACTTTAGGAAGCCAGGCGGCCCTCTGCCACAGGCAGGTTATGGCATCTCTGGGCTGACCTGCAGCCGGGTCGGTGAAGGTCTCCCTGCAAAGACACTTTTAAGTAAATTTAAGACAAGATCGTTAAATAGGCAGGTCCCCAAAAAAGAAATCCAAATGGCGTAAGCAAGAGCCCAGCCGCATTTGTAATCAGAAGACATGAAAGCGTCTGTGAAAAGTGGAACTATTTCCATTGGTATGTAGCTAAATATTGTAAGCTAGTGTATAAATTGGAACAATCTCATTGAAGAGGAGTTTAGTATTTGCTAACTGAAGATCTGTGCATTCAATGGGTCTAAGGGGTATTTACTCTGCCTTAATTATATACATCATGAAACATGTACAAGAATGCACACTGCAAAACTGTGTCCAACATACTGGCAAAAGCTGGTAATCCAGGGCTGGAGAGATGGCTCGTTTGGGCAGTGCACACACCTTTAATCTCAGAATTCAGGAAGCCTGAGTCAAGTGGATCTCCGTGAGTTCAAGGTCAGCCTGGCCTACAAAGTGAGTTCTAGGACAGCCAGCTACATAGTGAGACCCTGTCTCAAAAAACAAGAAAAAAAGTGGTACCGCTCTTGTATCCACAACCACCAGCTCCAGAGTATCAGACCCTTTCTGGCATCCAAAGGCACTTAAACTCACATGCACATACCCACACGCAATCACATACACATACACATAAGTTAGAATAAGTCTTTGAATTTAAAAACAATGGCATCCACCCAACTGTCCAACATTAGAGAGAATATAACTTTATATTGCAATGTTTTCAGACAGCAAAAAAAGGACTCAATTACAGCTAACCTGTAATGAATCAGACTTAATGAATCTGAAAACAATGCCAAGTGAAGGCAGGAAAAAGGCACTAAAATATGGTTTTATTAATATACATTTTAAAAGCAGACCAAACAAGGCAATGCTGTCCAGGGACCACATAGTGACAAAAAATCATAAAGAAGACAAAGCCAGGAGAGTAGGTACCTGGGATAGCAACCGAGGCCTTTCACTGACCATGAGTTCCACAGAGATCTATTTATTAACCTGGGTGGTAATAATATAGATGCTGTTTCAGTTTGAGTTTGCGTTTGGTTTGGTTTGGTTTGGTTTGGTTTGGTTTGGTTTGGTTTGGTTTTTTGAGACAGGTTCTCACTATGCAGACTAGGCTGACTTGGAACTCACAGAGCCTCCTGAGTACTGAGATTAAAGGCACATGCTACACCTGGCAGGTTTCAAAGTAAATTTGTTTGTTTGTTTGTTTGTTTGTTTGTTGAGAGAGGGTCTCTTGAAGCCCAGGCTGGCCTCAAACTTACTATGTAGCAAGAATGACCTTGAACTCCCAATCCTCCTTCTACCTCCTGAGTGCTGGGATTACAGGTGAGCATAAGAAAGACCAGCTTGAATACTTGTTTAGAATGATTAAATTATATGTTCAAGATCACCCTTGTTACATAGTGAGTTGGAGGCCAGCCTGGGCACAGTGAGACCCTGTTTCAAAAAAGAATCAAAACAGGAACTAGGAAAATGACTCAGCAGTTAAAAGTATGTACTGCTTTTGCAGAGGAACAGGGTTTGGTTCTCAGCACCCACTTCAGGTGGCTCACAACAACCTATAATTCCAGCTTCAAAGGATCCAATCCCCTCTTCTGTCCCCTTCTGGCATCTGCCCTCACATGCATGTACCCACACAAAGACACACTCATAATTCAAAATAAATATATTTTTTAAAGTAGTTCAGGCCATGAATAGTGGCATACACCTTTAATTCTGGCACTTGGGAGGCAGAGGCAGATGGATCTTTGAGATTGAGGCCAGCCTGGTCTACATAGCAAGTTCCACGCAGCATAGGCTACAGGGAGACTCTACCTTAAAAAAAAAAAAAAAAAAAAAACACTGCATGTGGTTGGGCGTGATGGCACATGCCTTTGATTCCAGCACCGATGAGGTAGAGGAAGTCAAATCTCTGTGAGTTTGAGTCCAGTCTGGTCTAAAAAGGAAGTTCTAGGCCAGCCAGTGCTACAACCCTGCCCCCCCCCAAAAAAAATTATGTGCTTCTGTGTGTCTTTGGTGTAAAAAGAGGGAGAGGAGCTGGATGCAGTGACACATGCCTTTAATCCCAGCACTCAGGAGACAGAGGCAGGCAGATCTCTCTCTCTCTCTGAGTTCAAGGCCAGCCAGGTCTACATAGTGAGTTCCAGGCCAGTTGGGGCTACAGGGAGAACCCATCTCAAAAAGACCAAAAAAAAAAAAAAAAAAAAAGAGGGAGAGGGAGAGGCAATCCTTCCCTTCTCTTCTAATGCCCACACTAGATGAAACTGGAGATGTGTTATCACATACACACACACACACACACACACTGTGATAGCTAATTCTGGGTTTCAACTTGACTGGATCTGGGATTAACTGAAATGAGAGAGATCTTAATTGGATCATCTGAAGCTGGAAGACACACCCTAAATGTGGGTGTTACCTTCTGATGGCAGCCGTATAAAAGGCCATGCAGAGGAGAACACCTGGCTTCTTGTTGCTTGCCTTCTCTCTTGCTGGTGAGTTTGTCTTCCTGCTGTAGACTGAAGACTAGCTGATCTGGAATTCGTCAGACCGTCAGACCTTCAGCGCCAGATTGAGACTACTGAGACATCCAGCCTCATGGACTGAGTGACTATGGATTCTCAGCCTCTCCAGTGTGATGCAGCCGTTGTTTGACTACTTTGACTCTATCCTGTGAGCTAAGGTGATAAATCTCTATACATATATATTCATTCTATCGGTTCTGTTTCAGAACTAATACAGATTGTGGTACCAGGAGTGGTTCTAGAGAAACAGAATTGAAAGGATGAATTTCTTTAATGGGCTTGTCGGTATTTGGAGCAGGCTCTCCAACTCAGAGTCTTCAGGTAGGATGGAGAACACCGAAAATCCATTGTGTAGACTATGGGCGTGCGAGGATCTCGGGGCTCCAGCTCCTGGGCGTGGCGCCAGTCTCCCACACGTCGCTGGAGTGCAGCGGGTCCCGCGGGCCGCATCTGCTGTTTAGGTCCCTGGCTCTCCGCCACTGGGGTGCGTGGGTTTCGCGCACCGCGTTGCTGAGGGTCTCTGCTACCGGAGCTGGAGGCTCTAGGACCGCTGTCAGCTGCCCGCTCGGGTTCCGTTTCAATTTCCACCGTGCACTCCCTCTAAGTTCAAGACCCGTTGGCCACCAGGTCACGAGGGGAGGTGCGAGAAACGGCGAAAGCAGCCACCGGATCACGAGGGGAGGTGCAAGAACTGCGAAAGCAAGGTCTTCGGGAGTGGTTGTTTACGAAGGGACAGCCCCCTCCGGGGAGACTGAATCGTAGGCCGTAAGACACAGGATACAGCTCAGTCAGACTCAGTGGTACAGCTCCGTGATTCAGCTCCGATTTATTAGGGGGAAACCAGGATATTTATAGTGTGGAGGCAGTAGCAAAAGCCTTAGTTGATAGGTGCTTTGTAGGATGCCCCATTTACATGTGGTGGTGGGCTTCTGCCAGGCTGTCAGACATTGCCTGAAAAACCTGGCAGTTTCATGCCGGAGGACATGTATCTGTGACGGCTACTTCAAAGGTGAGTCAGGAAGAGAGTAGGAAGGCGCCCTGCTGAGAAAGGGAGTCTCTGCATAAGAACGCCGAGCCACCTTGCGGCTATCCGGACATGGAGAGACTATGACCTAGAACAGCAGGGGTCCCCAACATCTCCCCCTGTTTGATTTAAAAATGGAGAAGTGCCATCACCAGCCCTAAGAACCAACTCATCCTTATATCGGGAGAATCCAAAGTCTGATAATTGACCATGACCTGTTTTGTAGCAATTTTCAGCAATGACAGTAATTTGTTGGTGAAGAAATCTTATAAAACAGTGAGCAAGTATCAAAATAATATACAGTATTACCGGGGGGCCAACAAGGGTTACTAAAACCAACCTAATTGGTGGGTGAAATCTTGAAAATGGATCTTTACAGAGTGTTAACATTGGTTTCAACAACATTTGATTCATTTACAAAGAAACAGCATTTTTTTTTCCCCAATACTATATATGTCCCCATAGGTGGTGAAAGGGAAGAAAGTTAAACTTGTACCAGGACATAGTGTCTTATCTGGTCCTCTGTCTTTCCTGTAGAATAACATTGTAAGTTAGCACGGACTTGGCTGCAGATGTAAGCTGTTGAGAGACAGGAAAGTTAGCTGTGGGGTACCTAGAAAATACACCTGAGTAGAATTCTGCTATTACTCCAATGCTCCAGCGATTGTCCTATGGATCTGATTCTTTCCTTGAAAAATAAAATCTCTAGAACATGGTATTAGGGAGAGTGGGGGCTGGCTGAAGCATTGGTGTTAAG